GGACATTCAGGTTTCTTGAAAGACCAACTAACCAGCAAAATCGATACATAACTGGGTTATGACACCATAGTTCATTGACAGTCTCCCATGAGGTTGGTTACACGTTGCCATATAGTGACCCATTTTCCTCTACTCTTACCCAAACTATAAAGGGAGCAGGCTCCCCAGAAAATGAGTCTAACTTGAACTCCCCTCGTTTTTGTACACCTGGTTGAGGGCTGCCCTGAGCTTTGCCGTGCTACTGCAGAAGGAGTAAACTCACCAAAACTCCATTACACCATCCCAGATACCCCACCCTGCATTCCTCCAGGTCTGAAAGGGCTGAAGACTACAAGCAGCATTATAGCACGTACTCAGGACCAGGAAAAGAAGAGGCAAAACTACACAGCAAGAACTATGGCCAACGTCCTCCCATGTCCTCTTCCTCACTGGTATCAAGAAGGGTAAAGATGGTTGGACTTTCCTTCAGCCCTGAGAGCAGGAATGGAAAATCTCAATATGAAAGTCCCTTATCATGGTAGTAGTGTGAGTTGTGCTGAGGGCAATGTCGGGAGATGTGCGAGAGAACAAGTTGTGGGGTGGTTAATAGAAACAGCCAGCCTGAGTGCAGGCAGACAACCAAACTGTTCCAAAGTGTCAGTGACTGGGAAGCAGTTCACAATTGTTGTGGGTCATTAAGCCGCATACAGATTGCTCTGTAGTGTGTGTGTGTGTGTGTGTGTGTGTGTAACAGACAGAGAAGGTTTTATGTAAGAGAAAGGTGGGGATAGCACTGAGGAGTTTGTGAGAGGGAGAAGAAGGTGTTTATGAGACAGAGGGAACGGTGTGTGAGTGGGAGGGCCTGATTTGTGCTGTGCGGCCACTTTATGTCTGCTCTGCTGGCATAAAGAGGCTGTAAAGCCATCCTAACAGCCCCATGGGGAATTCCTCTTATGTAAGGGGAGTCCCCAGCAGCTGCAGAGTTGGCGTAGCTGGCTCTATGCCATTCTCCTGCAGGCGCCAGCGGCACTGGTGAAATGCCAGAGGAAGGAGGTGTGGCGGAGGTGTCCTCTAAGCCTCAGCTATTTCTGATTGTCACAATGTCTCAGAGAAGCTGTTGGCAGCTGGGCTCAAGTTAGGGCAATTACTGAGGCTGCTCTGCCCTGGAAGGGGAAAATGTGATGACAGCACAGACTTGTCAGTGCTGTGCTTAACTACATCCCTCTGCTGAGAGGAGTTTGGGCACAGGGATAAACTGGTCCAGAGAAGGGATTAGGAGTCTTGGTATTTTTCTAGCACTTTGCATCTTCAAAACTCCAGGCAAGCTTTAGCTAATTAATCCCCCGCCCAAGGAGAGAGGGAGAGACTGAAACAGAAAGGTGAAGGGACTTGCCCGAGGCTGCCCAGGGCTTCAGTGACAGGGTGGGGCTGAGCATTCAGGGCCTTTTGCCACAGCCCGGGCCGCGTGTGAGCGGGGTGCCAGGACTGTGCATGCTCGGAGCCAAGAGGGCCCGGGGGCAGGCAGGAGAGCGAAGCTGCCAGCATCCAGAGGGGCTGGAAGGAATTGCCCATTGCTGTGTTTTGCAAAGAACTGCCCGTCCCCCCGCGGCAGCCCAGCCTGGCTGCTGCCCCTGGGCCCCGGCCC